GGCTGGGGCGGGAGGCGAGCTGCCATTGGCCGGCTGCCAGGAGAGTGACGCGTCCGGCCGTTATTGTTACGGGTGAGGCGTTACCGCCCTGAAGCGGCGGTTGCGCGGCGGCCCGGCGATACTGTGCGGAGTCCTGGCGGCGCTGTGCGGTCTCCCGGCGGCGCTGTGCGGTCTCTCTGGTGGAGCTTGACAGCCAGTTTTTCGCCCTGCGGACACGGAGAGATTATCTGGCGGGATGTCCGCCAGATTCAGCTTCGGTCCCGTTCTCCGACGGGTATGGTTTAAGGCAGGACACCCCCACCTCCCCCCTCCCCCAACCCCAGCCTCTCGCAGGCCTGTGGGGGACCCAAAGCCGGGGTCGCCCAACGGTAGCACCAACCTACCGTGTGGCCCCCGGTGGGTGTACGGGGTTTGGCTCTGAACTCGGAAGCCCAAGCTCAAACACCGCTTTGTTACTACAAGGTTTAAAAAACCAGCGCCGGCGTTAACGCCTCCTGGCAAACCAAAGCAGGAGGCAGCTTCTTGCCGTTGTGTCAGCTAACGTCCTATCAGAAAGCCAGAACAAATACGGTCTCATTCAAGAAAGCTTTTCTAAAAAAGCACCTAGGCGCTGGAAAAGTGAGAGATCTGGTGGACTCTTAACACATTTCTGCCTTTATTAGTCATAAGAGTAACATATTAGTCTTATGAGGAGAGGCTGAGGGAGCTGCGGGTGTTCAGCCTGGAGAAAAGGAGGCTGAGGGGAGACCTTCTCACTCTCTACAACTGCCTGAAAGAAGGCTGTAGAGAAGCAGGGGTCTGCCTCTTTTCCAAAGCAACAAGTGATAGGACAAGAGGAAATGGCCTCAAGCTGTGCCAGGGGAGGTTTAGATTGGGTATTAGGAAAAATTTCTACACCAAAAAGATTATCAAACATCAGAACGGGCTGCCCAGGGAAGCAGTGGAATCACCATCCCTGGAGGCATTCAAAAATGGGTAGATGCGGTTCTTAGGGACATGGTTTAGTGGTGATTTTGGCAGTGTTAGGTCAATGGTTGGACTCGATGATTTTAAAGGTCCCTTCCAACCTAGACAATTCTGTGATCCTAAGAGACTCAGAAAAACAATTGAACTTCCAAATCGGATCACCTCTGCTGAAGTGAAGGGTGTTTAGGGCCACACTGACAACCAGCCTCTTTTTTTTTTTTTTTACTCAGATACATAATAGCTGTGGCCACAGAAGAGAGTAAAAAAGGAGCATAAGCATTGACATTAAGCACAATGGCTAATTTTGTAGTCACAATTGACGTTACCTGGGAAGGAACACCTGTTTGCTGGGGAAAAACATGTTCTTGACTTCAGTTGCCCCGTTCTTTAAGACCTTTAGTGTAATAACAAATACATTGAGTCACAAAGCGAAAACACTGCTCTAAATGATAGGTTTTGGTTTCGTTTTTTTTCTTTTTCAAGTTACACTTGGACTCTGTAGATCTCTGTTACATATATTATTCTACAAGCTATTTCTTACCAATTAGAAAATCACACAGCTTTGTGAGATTCCTCTTAATGCAAGCCAGCAGCCCTAGGAAAAAAATATAATGCACACACTCATATGCGTAAGTATATAAACCCTATTATTAAGGAAACAGCTAGCGGGAAAACTTTATTCATATATCAGCCTTACCTGCAGAACCACCTCCTTGACAGAGGAGGAATTTGGGATACCTCATGTGTTCCGCCGAAGTCGCCTGAGCTGGGAAGCTATAATCCGACTGTAGTTATGCTTGTAGCTTGTGGCCTGTTTACATTTTTCTGGTAGAAATTGACTTAAGGGCAACAAATAAATACAACTCAGGAGGTAATCAGAAGATACTGAGGTTTTGGGTTTACAGCCGTGAGTTTATGTTTCAAAAGCATAGGACTAAAATAAAAGAACGTTATCTTCTTAATCAGTTATTTAAGACCCACAGTTATTCTGCGGGTTAACCTTTGTAGTTAGGTGACTTTATTGGTGGGGAATTTTTTTTTGCCATCTGTGATCTCAGTTTTACAGTCTGAAAGCCGTTCATTTTGTATTATCTTCAGAGTAGGTGTCTGCTGCTTAGAAACACTTCAGAATTACAAGTTTCATTGAATTATTCCTTTGGCATTTTTAAATGCCTTATGATATTTTTAGGTCTGGGGGATAGATGTTCCCTCTGAAAGGGCAGAAACATGCCTGGGAAAAGTCCCAAGTGGCTTTGAGACATGGGAGGTAGGAGGCTGCCTTTCATTGCTTGGGAAGGCTGTTGGGAGGCTGGGCTAGGAGAATAAAAGGCCTTTAAATTCTGCTGCACAGCAGGCTTTCTCTGCATTCCTTGGGGAAAGGGTTTCTTAAAATACAGTTTCATTCCCGTTAAGTTATTTTGATGTGTATTTTGTAGATCTGCTGAGGTGTTTAACGGGGGAGTTGGGTGATAAAGCGTTGACCCTGGGACGCTGTACACAAAATTGCAGAGGAGATAATGCCGTGTCCCCTCAGGCAGTCTCTGCAGAGTCACCTGAGGCCACAGGCTGGAGAGGCTCCACAAAGCTTCACGGTTCCACGCTGCAGTGGGGAAACCGTCCTCAGTGTGATAAAGCTGAGAGAAATAGATGCAGAGCGTGATTTCTGGATACCTCAGCAAGAAATTGTAGATTTTACTTACGCAGCAGTGGTAAGCCTCATTACAAGGAGAGTAATTTGAATAAAGGATAATGTGTCTGATGTTTTCATAGGCATCTGTAACTGCGTCCAGATAACCTCCCACCTCAAACAGCATAGATTCTGGATGGTTGTCTTGGTCAGTACAGTTTGTAGCATGGCCTTTTTGGACTACTGTGCCTGAGAAACTCCTCAGTTCATAGAAGAGAAGGTGTTTGTTTTGGAGAGTTGCTGTTGATCTGTATGGGAAGCCAAAGACCCTGTGAAATTCTGCATGAGGAACTCTTGCTTCTTCACCAGTTCGTATGTGGTAGGGACATTTAGCACAGTTGTGGTTCTGTCTCTGCCAGCAATAGGGCTTTACCACAGTCCCCTGACTTGTCAGATACTCTTGGAAAATCTTTTTCTCTCCTGGATTCATGTTCTATTGAAAAATCTCCCTGTTCATGTGCTATATAGTTGACGGTCCTGAACAAAAAAGGAAAGTAATATTGTAATTCAAGCCTTCAATTATTTTTTTTTTTACCTTAAACTGCGAAAATAATAGTCTCTTCACAAATGTACTGAAACTTGTAGCAGCAAATAGAAACTTGGTTGATGACCCAGAGAACAAAGCTCTCTTGCAGTTTGGGAGCATTTCAGTTTTCACCTTTTTGCTAAAATCAGGAGTAAAAAATATTTCTCTGGCTGCTGCCCTCTTATCCTAGACAGAAGGAACTGCATAATAAAACAGCCATGCTTTTCAGGAAGATGAGCATATGCAATCTGTCAAAACAAACAAGTAAACAACACCAACAAAAAAAGGTATAATTACCATCTCAGCAGCTCCAGCTCAGGGTAATAGTCAATCTGATTTCCTTCACTGGCTTGTTAGGACAGGTTCAGAGTTTCCACTTTAGTGATAATGCAAGCTTTCTTTTCAAAGAAATTTTCTTCACCGATTATATGGTGAAGTTACTGAAGAAAGTTACTATTTCCTCCCCGGTTTTCAGTTGGGCTGTAGACGATTTTTTCCAAGAGTGGTAACTTTGCTCCAGTTGCAATGGCGACAGCAGACAGGCTCCTTTGGGTGTTTACAGGTGCCAAGTGCTAGGAGACGAGAATACAAACAGGATTTTCTTTTGTACAGCCAGCCACCTGTGGTAGTTAAGCTTCTGTTCTTCACCTGTCAGTATTTGTTTCCGATCTTACGTGATTAAGTTTCCTTTGTTTCTCTAGTGCTGCTTTGATACAAAGTTTTTATAGCTGAAAGGTGGATGTTGTTTTAATGAATACGTTACTGAATTTGTTTCCAGGTGATTGTTATTTCTGTTTGTATGTCTGTTGTGCCAGCTGGGCAGAAAGCTCCTGTTGTACTTCTGCTCTCCCACGCAGGCAGCCAGTGCATCCCGTCTTTAAGAAGTTTCTGTACATCCCTCACTGAGTCTGTAATTCAAGCAAGCAGTGGACCATTTCATGAGTAAGCTAAATCGTGCCTGCTTTGCTCGGGCAGGGTTCCAGATGACTGCAAACACAAGTTTTGTGTAGATTAACAGCTTTTGGCTCAGCCCCTGAGGCAGATAATTTTTTTTCTTCACTGCTGCTCCAATTGAGCCACTCATCATCCCTGGATCCAGTTTAATTCTGTTACTGCTTCTCTGACTATGAACAACTTTTCCATTTGCATATTTTATTACAGCTTGCTTCTGCATTCCATGTTGTTTTGCCCCTCGACTGTCAGAAATTCCTTTTCTTCTTAAGTTACTAATTTGATTAATTCACTTTTTTTCCACCTCCTGACTCTATGCCAACTTCCATGTATTTTCCTGTGTTGGAGCTCTTTCCTGATCAAGGCCATTGTGGACTTCTCATTCAGATTACGTCTAAAGATTGCCTTCCTGACATCAAGAATGCCCCATTTGTCATTTTTGATGTTTCTGTAAATTTTTGAGGTTTCTGCACATTTTGATGTTCAGTTACACTCTGTACTATGCATTGCAACATAATCATGGCAGTGGTGTGTCTCAGAAAATAAAAAAAACAGCAGGTCTGAAGAAGGGACCATTTTTGTTTGTGTTGGGGCAGCATGAGAGAGTTATTACACCAGGCCAGTTCTCCTGCAGGTTGCCAATATTATTAAAGACAATTTAAAAAGCTGCAAATATGGAGCAAGGTTCCGATTGCTTGTCAGTGCTGGTATTTTTGCAGAGCTGGAATGGCCACATGATGGCAATGTTGCATGCCAGAGATATATCCCATTTTACACTTGGTGGTGGAGGCAGTGGTTTGAGCTCTTTCAGTGTGTTTAAAGGGGTGCCACCAGAGACACTTAAAATTTTATATCTCCCTCTAAAACTTGCCTTTTTGTGTGTTCGTTAGGTGGTTTGGCCTGATCAAATCTCAGTAAATATTCAGTCTTCTCAATTAATTGTGTCACGTCTTTACAGGATGGGAGTCAAATCCCAAAGTACCCGGTCTGATGGATTAATTGGAATGTGTTCCACAACCTGAGCACATTTCTGCGTGCACAGCACCAGCCTTTGGCTCCTTTGCCAGCACTGTCCCTGTGCTGGGGGACACGGTGACCTCTGCCTCTGCAGGATCCAGCCTTCCAATCGGTCTGAATCCTCTACCTCTCTGATGAGCACAGAGGGTCAGGGAGCAGAATCCCAAGGAATCCCTGATTATAAATGCCAGAGGCTTCTCATTTGCCACGTATGTCAGTGCTGTGATCATTTTGGGCATGCAAAGAGGAAGGATGTTTCCAAAAAGTGCAAGCTGAGCAAAATGGAAGAAAGCTGACCACTCATCGTTTTCTCAGAATGGACCCATTCCTGGTTTATGAGGAAGCAGAAAGTTGATTTTTTCTTTAGGTATTTTTGCACGACTTTTTCAGGAGTGGAATTTTGATTTTTTTGTATTTTTGCACGACTTTTTCAGGAGTGGAACAAAAGATACAAATGTGTTGCACAAGATATTTTATACTGATGTATATCCACGTCCATATGAATGTGTGTGTATGTATATATGAGTGTAGATTAAGCAGCTAATAGGAGCACTCATCATTTTGCTCTCTTGCAGAAAAAAAAATTGTTCCCATGCTCAATTTTATTTAGTAATACTGAATAGCTTGGTAGCATTTGTCATTTTCAAAGTAGTTTATAAATCTGACCAAGTGGATAAAATATAGAGTGGTCTAAATGGCTCTCTTCCTGGTATTTCTGCTGCTTAGTGTCACTTCGATCCTATACAGGGGAAATTGTTAAAGTGGCTTCCGACTTCCAGAGTGCCTAATTTGTCACAGTGATCCTGATGCATCTGCAGAGGTAGTAAATGTTCCAGACTTTAGCTGACATTAATAGTTTATATAGTTGGAAATTTGGAATTCAGACGGTTTCAGGCTGGGAAATAGAAAATGAAGGTAGTCAAAATGACTTCTTCCTTTAGGTATTTTTCATCTTGATTTCAGTGTTTGCAATCCTAATATTAACCCTCTAATATTAATCTTTTTCAACATGCAACCCTTCCTGAGCTCATAGGCTGTTCCACATCCTCAGAAGAAATGTTTGATTTTAAATATGTTGTATGAACCTAAGGGTAAATCTTTTAACATCTGAAGTTGTTAGGGGAAATACCATCTTCATCTATCAATTTCATTGCATGAAAATATCATCCTTATATAGAAGATCATGTCTAATGGATATGATTAGGAACTCAAAGCATGTGTTAAGGAATTCAACAGATCCATGCACCCCCAATTATATTTGAAATTATAATTATATCCCTGCCCCTTCCAACTATATTTGGAGGGGACAGGGATATAACTATAATTTTAAGAAATTGTTTTGCTTATTACTAAAATGCATGCATCTTTGGGGCAGAGGGCAGGAGCTGTTTAATAGTGCTCCACAACAAGGTATAAATGTTCACAGGAGGAATTGGAGAGGAATGCTTAATCCCGTTAAAACCGCAGGGGAAACTTATGTGGTCAGTACGTAATTGCTCAGGTTGGAAGTTAGCCAGGATACAAGCCATATGTTCTGCTTCTAGGGAAAAAAAGGCGTAATGATCAGGGATGTGCATTTTTTTATCCAAATATTAGCTAAACCCTAGTATCTCTTCCGGCTTAAAAACAATTCTGATTCATTCCAATGTGCCTAGTTTGGACCTGATACTGGTTTTACTGATTAAAACTTGGGACACTGAGATTTATGAAGATGCCTTTGGGAGCTAAGTTGCATCCATCAATTGGGCAAAAGTTAATTACATGTGATTATATGGAAGTATGATGATTTTTTTTATTCCCCTAACTAAAACATGATCTACTTCCGTAGTCTTGTACAAGTGTAGTTCTGTTTATGTGAGGGGACCTGGTGCTTCCCCCAAAAGCACTGCACACAGTACAAGAATGGTTCCTTTTTTTGCTGCTGAAATATGAGTGTTGAAATTCTGTTGCATTTCTAAGTACGGCTTGGTTCAAAATAATCTCTGTTGGAAAGCATTTTACACATGACTTCATTCAGTAAGAAGTTTATCTGAGTTCAAAGTACAGAGGAGTCACATGGTCCTTAAACACCAGAGACTTGACGTTCTTGTGCAGTCCTAAGATTTTTAAAAATAAGAAGTGCAGGAAGAAGCAGAATGCTCTCCAAAACAGCTAACAAACATTTCCACACGGACAACTTAAACCTGAGCTGTTGAGGCTTAACTTGTGTCCACGCTCAACAATCTCAGGTTCATTTAACACATGAGTTGGGGCTATCTGGTGCTGTGGGGACGCTGGCTCACAGCTCCAGAGCAGAGCCCTGGTATTTTGCATTCTGCCACTGGGCCATAAAGATTAGTGAGGATTTAGGTCCCGAGTTTGGAACGTTTCCTCCTCAAGCACATGTGAAAGTCAGACCTTCACAAAACCATTCCACCAAACTTTCCTCACCTGGCTTGTCCAACCTCAAAGTGATTTAAATTATCACCTCACTTCCAGGGATTTTTTCACCACTCCATTTTTTTTTGTTGTTTGTTTCCCTTTCTCTATCTTTACATCTAAATATAAGAATTTTCCCCTTGTCTATTAATTCAGAGTGGAATTGAAAAAGAAGAAACAACAAAGTAGGTTAGTTTTAAATCTTCTATCCACTGTTAAATTTATGATGCTTCTGATAACAAACAGCGTAATGAGCAACAGCTTGCCTTCCACTTCTGTTACATTGGCATGTAGACTGGCTAAAGCCAGAGCACTCTGCTATACTCAAACTGCCTGTAATCTTGGAGAACTCGATATGAAACCGTGTTTGACAGGCAGCAGGCCTCCTGAAGTCTGTATGGTACCACAGAGTTACGTGTCTTATGCCTGTCTTATTTATCACCACTTCTTTGCCTGAACATTACTGCTGAGTTTTGGGGGTTTTTTTTATGGCATTGCTTATAACCTCACCCCTAACACCGCCTCTGAACTGTTCCTCTCTGCAGCAGCCTCTCAGATCTCTGTTAGCTGGGCAGGAAAAGGAGCTGGCAGAAGCTGATGGGCAGCTAGCTGAGCAGGTAGCAGATGAGCTACACTGACAAATTTTCCTTAGTAGGGGCATTTTATTCCATCTCTGTTTGTCTGCTGATTTTCCAGAAGTTAGTAGGAACCCAGCATGTTGGTGACCTCTGTTAATTTCTCAGCTGAGTTTGATGGGTTCAAATGAGTCAGTAAGTTCAGAAATCACACAGGATGGAGCAGGAAGAGGGAGAAAGACAGCAGGATTGCATATGCTTTGTTTCTTTAGGATTCTAGGTTAATAACCATACAGAAGCACTAAAAAAAAAAAAAAAAGACCAGTAATTTACCAACTATTGTGTGTAAACTTTAGATTGCATAAACTTTGTGCTGTAGAAGTTGAACGTGTTTGAAAATGAAAGCTAATGAGAGCCAAATGGTATGTCCATGGAGATGTAATGGCCTGGGACTGTAACATGCAGAAGGCCATTAAGCTATACTAGGTATTTTTGCATTTCAGCTATGTCAATTCTGATTTTACTGTATGAGAGGAAATGAAAATTATGCCCCATCACCTTGGCATGGCGCAGGGGAAAATTATTTGTATGTTGTGAATGAATCCTGGAGACTGCATCAAAGCAGGGGTGATCCTTTAGCTTATATACTATTAGTCGTAGCAGCAGTTTAAATAGCCCACGTAGATCACTATTCAGTGTGATTATAAAAGTGTTGAGGCCAATAGCCATAACTGATATTCAAGTGTTTTCTTTTCAAAGAATCATGCTGTTCCTTTGGATGGCTTTCACTCAGGCAGACATCTAAAAGAGCCCTTGAAAGATTTTCTGGGCTTGGAGACACATATTTGAATCATAAGCCACTTGAGAAGGTCTTGATTAGTGAAAAATGGGAACCTGAAAACACAAAGAGAAGAAATGATGATAGTA